GCTGTTGTACTAGGCTCGATACAGTAGTCCTGTCGAGTGCTGATTGCGGGACATATTGCGAGTGCAGCAGGGCAGCACGAAGTGCCGCGTATTATTATGGAGGGCGCACGAGAGATGTCGAGGCAGGCAGGCAGGTGCGCTTCTTGACCCCTCGGCCGATCGGCCGCCAGTATTTATTGCTCCGTTCGTCTGTAAGCTATAGGGAGTTTTTTATCGGGAAACAATTGAGACCGTGTTCACTTACCACATTTGCATGCACTCCTCCGTCGACACGGATGCTCGTTTCGCGATACGGTATTTACTTTGATGCAAGGGTGCCTTACTACCTACTGTAAACTCCCGGCGAATGGGTGGATTTTGGTGCTGGATACAGGTGCGGTGGGGGTAAACCAGCTACGTGTAGGGATCAAGGGGGCTGTCACTGGCGCACGAAGTTTGCAGGGTGCTGGTGCAAGCTTCAAGTTTCAGGGCATCATGAAAAGATTCGAGCGAATCTTTGGGGTGCACTGGAGGGCTGTAAAGTGGCCAGTAATCATGGTGAGCGCCGTGGCCAACATCGAAAGTAAATGATAATGCGGCAGGTTCCGCTGTCGACCGACCGGTGCTGTCAGCTCCAGTAAAGACCCCGAGTCCAAAGCTTTGGTGCCGCTTGCCCACCACGTCTGAGAATTAACTGACCCAGAACTCACACGGCCCAGTGAGTATCCATGAGGAAATACCTGTGGCTCACGATATGCAAGCTAGAACCCGCCCGCTCTAACAATGCCACGAGCCTCCGGCCCCCACTATCCATACATGTAGGCATCTCGATGAGTTCTGTCGAACACTTGGTCGCTAGCCCCTGGAAGTCCACCCGCATCTGCCTTTGATGACCAGCACCAAAATCCACCCATTCGCCGGGAGTTTACAGTAGGTAGTAAGGCACCCTTGCATCAAAGTAAATACCGTATCGCGAAACGAGCATCCGTGTCGACGGAGGAGTGCATGCAAATGTGGTAAGTGAACACGGTCTCAATTGTTTCCCGATAAAAAACTCCCTATAGCTTACAGACGAACGGAGCAATAAATACTGGCGGCCGATCGGCCGAGGGGTCAAGAAGCGCACCTGCCTGCCTGCCTCGACATCTCTCGTGCGCCCTCCATAATAATACGCGGCACTTCGTGCTGCCCTGCTGCACTCGCAATATGTCCCGCAATCAGCACTCGACAGGACTACTGTATCGAGCCTAGTACAACAGCACCTTCGCTCTCGGGCCGCTCGAGAAGAAACCGCCACACGCGCTCGAGGCCGATGAGGGGGCCTCCGTCTCCAGCGTCTTCGCCTCCGCCGCGGCCTCCAGCTGCGAGAACGCGCGCGCGTCCAACGTGGCCCGCACGTCGCGGCAGATGAGCGCGATGTCCTCCAGCGGGAACGCGTGCTCCTCCGCCAGGATGCGCGCGCGCTCCATCGGGTCCAGCCACAGCTCGTTGCGGCGCCGTCGACTGCGGCCCGTGGTCAGCAGCGGCGCCGTCTCCGCCAGCAGCATCTCCGCGTCCGAGTCCACGCTCTCGCACTCGCTGTCGCTGGCCTCGGCGTCGTCTTCCTCGGCCGGCAGCATCGAGTACGAGTGGCGGGTGGGGCGCCCCACCAGGCCCACGGGCGGGCCCCCGCTCTCCGGCACCGTGCTGGCGTTGTAGCCCACGCGGAACTCCAGCACGCTCACGGTGCCCCAGCGCACGCACTTCTTCTCCCTGAGCGCCGCCTGCTCCATGCTCTGCTCGACGGTCTCCATTCTGTTGTCGCTTTGTCTCCAGTCCCTGTCTCGCCTGTGGATCTCCGGGGCTTCTTTCTCTGGCGCTTCCGCGCTCCGAGGCGCTCGCTCGCTGTTGTTTATCTACGCGGCGGCGGGGCCCAGGCGCTGCTCTGCTCTGCTGTGCGTGAGAGGTGAATACGGGAGTGGTGCCTTCCTTCCTCCCTGCCCGCCTGCTGCAGCGATTGCGCCCGGCCTGCGTTGCCGAGCGTAGAGCGTCGAGTCAGTACAGGCGGTGCAGAGCCGCGGCGCCCACAGTTGCGGCATCTACCGCCAGCTGGTTGCAGAGGCCACGCGCCGCCGTTCGGTGGTGCCTCCGTCCAGTCGGTGGCGCCACCGCCGCAGCGCATGTGCAGGTTTCCAGCAGGTGCTCGGAGCCTCCGACACTGCTCCTGCTCCGGCAGTCCGTAAAACAGGAACTCGAGCGCGAGGGCGCTGCATGCGTCCGTACCTGCCTTTCCTCGCACGAGTGAGCGCGTTTATTGCTAGTCTTGTAGGCGACGCCCATGTGTGTGCGGCATGCGGTAGTACTCAGTCGATTGCAAGTCGATATCCCCACACCACCGTATTTGACTGCAGCCATCTACGCGACGAACTATCCTTCTGCGCGCGCACGCTGATTTCTCCGCCCAGTTACAGGCAACAAGCAACAGCATGTAAACTATCCCCGCCAGGAATCCCCCCAGCAAATGACGTTGCTCGCGCCCAACGGTGCTGAAAGCTCATCCTCGCGCCATTTGCGTTATGTGGCAGCAGATCAAGCAGAGTGTGGACCACACACAGTGGGAGACCGACGCGGCGCGTGTCGATGCCGACGCATGTGGCAGCAGCCATCGCCAGGATGTCGACCAGCTGAGTGCGGCTGACTCGAGGGTCAGGCATAGGGGCCCTAGTCGAGGGCTGGACTCCAACCTGGAGCCGCCGTACATGTACAGTATTGAGCTCGTCGCCGGCGATAATCGGACGAGCAGGAGACTCGCCGCCGGTCTTGCACGCGCTGTGGCGAAGAATCCAGGCCGGTCGGCTCTCCATGTGTGCACAGTACGACAATTCAAGTGCACCTAGCCAGTCGAAAACGAGCGAGCAAGCCCCAGACCGGGCCAGACTCTGGCAGACCCACGGCAGATCTGCGAAAGCTCGCCTCGAGGACGCCAGGAGCGTAAACGGCGGCCTGTGGCTTATGATGCCAAGCAATAAAGAAAGCTGCAGCTTCAAGGACCGCCAATTGCGGTCCTCGAGCTCGGGACCCTCGACTTTGGGGATCGAGCTGCCGATCTCGCGGCGAGCTGCCGTCGATCTGAGAATACTACGGACGTTACCCGTGGCCGGGAAGCACGTGCTGTCAGACGGATCCAGCGAGACCGTCTTGCCTAGAGTGCTGAGGGCAAAGGCAAATGGGGTGCGTTTTTGATTAAAAAAAACTTTTAGACAGCAATTTACTGTAGCATTGCTAAGTTTGCAGCAGCAATAAAGCAGTGCACATTGCCAGCAACCTTATAACGCACCCACGCCAGCCACTGCGCGCCAAGCAGCGCTGCTACATGATCGCGCGACGACGTGAGCGCCGCCGCATCTGCCGGGTTAACGAGCGCCACACCGCGTGTTTATTCGCGCCCGTTTGACAGGCGCGGGCCGTGGCGACGTTGGTCTTAGTGTGCATGCTCGCTATTGCCTCGCTGCTGCCTTTGCCTCAGCACAGCCTTGGCACAGCGCAGCGACTCGCTCAACTTGCAGTGCTGCACGCACCGACTGGTTAAGATTTTCGGTTGAAGGTGGGCGTATCTTTGGCGGTACTCGCCACCGACTGCACACTCTTCGGTCCCAGCAGGTCCACTGCTGTCAACCAGCTGACTCGGGCGAAGATCGGCGCGTCTGCAGACTCTGCATGACGTGCGCGCGAGTGGACATCGGCAGGCCATCGCTGGTCCCACCTACTGCTGCCACAGGCCAACGGTGTGGTTTCTTCTGGTCAACGCAACCAAGTGCAAGTTGCAGTGCCGCCGTGGCGCTGCCAGTGGCAGTCCTCGTGCATTCGATTTGAGCCGCTTGGTGCCGACTCGCCTCCCAGAGCAAAGTAAACCAGCCAGAGAAGGCTCACCAGTTCTCAAAAGTAAGCAAAGTACGTGGCACTGCCCACCACAAAGCGCTTACCGTCGCCAGCGATACTGTAGAAGGCTTCCAACAGCAGCAGCAGAGCCAGCGAGAGGCTGGAGTGTTTCTTTTGTGATGACCAGCTTCTCGCAACGTGCTTCGCGCAGATACAGAACTAGCGGCTGGCCTCGCGTCAATCTCTCTAGGTGAAGCTGGGTTTCGGTGCGTAACGTCGTTGAACTGTACAGTGTACCGTATAAGGGTTAATACATTTTACCTGTAAAACGTGGGTGTCCACATGCGATGACCGTTTCCGTTAACACGAACGATCTTGCCACACTTCGGGTGAATATGAATAAGTTACTGTACATGTACGTACACGCAGTTGACGGCGCAAGATCGGCTGCGTCGCACGGAACGGCACGTTCGGCTCGACGCTAAGTATCGTGGTGGTGGATACATCGGCAAGGCCCAAAACAATATTTGTGCTGTCTTCTCTTACTACTACTACTACTACTAGTAGTAGTAGGAAACAGTTTAGTACATTATGCAGCAGATACCACCGCCGCTCTCCGACAATGCACTCATTTTAACTTTTGAAGTTGCCCAACTTCGTACTGCAAGTAGAAGGAATGGTAACGCTGGCATTCTAGCAGTATCAAGTGAGTCGCTTGGACTCGAAATCTCTCAGTTTGACGTGCATCAGCACATGCCAGAAAAACGGAATAAATATGAACTATTTCGCAAAATCTCCGGCTGAACTTAGTGATACGCATATATAATACAATAGTTCGCTAAATGTTAGTGCGGTCACTCGAAATTATTCAAGCCTGGAGCCCAGTCGGCATATTCTAGTCGTTTGTGTTGAATTCGTTATCATGATAAACCTGGGGTTTGATAGCGTCGCGCATGCTGTCGACCTCCAGAAGAAGTAAATGGTCACACAACTGATGGACAAATTCTTTCAAATTATATATGTTTAGGAGGCTGGATGTGTTTTCACAATCCTTACTAGCCTACGGCATGAGGCGGAGCTGTGATTTGTTCCGAGACAGATATTTATTCGTATAGACTCTTGTAGTGTGCCCTACATCCACTATTTCAGATAATACACAAATCTATAGAAAATATACCTGGACTTGGTTTAAAGTAGAACTTTTGCAAAACTGAGCATCATCCGCTAAGACAGACTTTTTGCGACTGTTAACTAAAGAGAACAAAAGAACCTCGAATTGGGCATTAGCTGTCTTCACAATCGACGGAAGAGTTGAATTAAGACACTGAGTTCCTTTCTCTGACCGTAATGAATAACTTATTGGCATGAAACTCTAGCTGAAAAGTAAAGGCTATGTACGATGAGAGTTATACTTGCATGACCTCAGTTATACTTGCATGAGTGTTTGCCACAACTCCGGTACGTGATCGAACCGGGGAAGCGCTTTTAAACAGAAGAATACTGCTTTATAGAATTGTCAAAGCCTGCCATGCTTTGATCAAACTTAGTTTGCGGGTGACTATATGTAAGTGCTGGACTCTCAATTTTGTATGGCTCAGGGACAAACCGCAGTAGCTTTCGAGTCCGCCGCAACACTATATGTGAGTTTACTACGTAAATATACACATTTGCTGTCGTGTTCTACCGTACCAAGCCTAAAACCCTGGTCGCCTTCTTAGAAGATTTTTTGGTAACGCATCTTTTGGTTATGTGGCTTTTGCCTGTGTGAGCACTTACGGTGCACAGGCATTGAGCGGAGCCTGACCTGCGCGCAGGTCCGTGATAATTCGGATTGCTGTATGCTATCACAAACTGCTCGTACGAACTCAGTTCTGTGCTTTGCAACGTTTACTGCATGAATTGGTCGATTAAACTCACTCCGCAAGCTGCCTTACTGTTCGCGGCAGCTCAATATTGCTTACCGATATTGCCTTCCAATACGTCAAGCCGCGCTTCGACGTGAGAGGGCGACGTGTACATGAACTCGTCGTCGTAGATATCATAGTTTAAACAGCTCAGGATAACGTCTTCAGTAAACCTGTTGAGACACTGGGCAAACAGAAAGATAAGCTCCCTAAAATCCCGGTATCCATACCGAAAGTCTTCTTTACTCGGCGTGTGCTGGGGAATAAGCTCATGTAACCAGTCAGTGGCGTACAGACGAATCTATTAAGGCAAGTTGCCACTTTAGTAGAATTTTCGATGGCAACTTTTAGCCAACCGCCCCTGCTTGTAATATTGACCGCAAGGTACTGAGTGAGGTATGAAATTGTAGCTCAAGATTTCAGCAATCAGAGACGATACCAGATAACTAAATCCATGCAATATTCAGCACATTTAACGCAAGCTACTAAGCCATCTCGAATTCGAGGTTGTGCCAGTTTAGTAGAGATTTTATCAGGGAGTTTGTATTGAAATACCAGCTGTTTGCTCACTTGCACCTTGAATAATTATATTATCAACCAATCATGGAAGCTATACGCGAAGTACTGTCTGTTCATAGGTCGACGTGACACTCTACTAAACTGCTCACTCTCTACTAAAGTGGCAACTTGCCTTAGCAGCAATTCACGAAGCATTCGTGGACAGCATTATCGATGGCCTTGGATGTCCCCGGAGCGGTGTACGTGTAGCCACTTGATCGCCTTCATGTGACCGTGCTTTCCGGCGGAATCCATGGCTTCCGTTGTACATGTACAGACTTCACTTCTGTTGGCTTGAGCCATTGAATCACTTCAAGATGTCCATTACCAGCACTCCCGTCCATTATGCTTTGACAGTGCACCCCTCTCTGCGATTGGTGTGAAGCCATGAAACCACCTCTAAACGACCATTTGAAACCCCACCCATCGCTTCTTTAGTGCACTTCTGGTCAAAACAGCGTCCAGCTATATCAACACCTCTAAATGACCACTAACCGCTGAACGAGAGCTTTGGGCAGGCTGGGATAGCTAAGAATCATTGGATGAGGTAAACTCTGGACTGCGGTATAGTGCATTTGTGTCTTATTCGACGAGGCGGTGCATTTAAAAAAATAAGAAGTTAAGTAGTTGGCGTGTCCTCGAAACCGTTTGAATTAGTACGTCCGTAGGACAAGCTAAACAATCAAACGTTTTGTCGCATTGCAGTGGAAAGAACGACGCGTCGATTACGGAGTTTTGTTTGATGGACAATCCCTCGTACTAGTTGTCTGGCTGCACCAGCTCCATATCATCGATCATCACTATAGACACGACAAAGAGGTTGTACATGCAAGTACGTTTTTTAATTCATAAAAACTTGGGCACAACGACCCGTATTCGGGTCTCCTTGTTATATATTGTCACTATCAGTTGATTTTACGCTCGATCCATGATAGCAGTCTTACAGCACAAATTTTGATCTAGCACAGAATTCGAGTCAAGAAACACGATTAGTTAATTCTAACTACGGGCATCTACTGCGCCTGCTTCGCAGCCGCAGCATCTGCCCGGTAACGCGTCTATATGATAACTACCGGGGCAGCCTAAACAGCAGCACTAAAACTATCAGTCACGTACGGGGCCGAAGTACCATGACGCAGGGCGCCTCCGCAGCGGGGGTACCCTCACTGCCATGCGCGCTACACACACCAACTCACACTACACATTTAAATAGATACATGTACGACAATTATAGTTGTTCCGGTTGCAAGATTCGAGATGGATGGAGAACGGGTCATCCCATAGCATCAACGCAGATATTCAGTTTATTTCAGTTGGCAGGCTTCGGCTACCGGCTTCAGTTTACCGGAGCCAGCTACCGCGGACGCCGAATTAACCTGGGTTGCTGCTATCCCAGAATAATACTTCGTATAGAAGTACATTGCATCAGTATGGAGAGCTTGAATTTGGCCATTGTAGAAATGTTCTCCTGGTATGTTTTTTTATATTGGAAAAGGTTATTGAGTTACTTGCACGAGCAAACTTCTTCTGGTATGTTAAACTGGTTCGTTTTTTTTGTTTCTTTCTGGCGCAACCATGAGGTCAATAGGAATCTTCCATCTATTATACATACGTGGGAAATGAATAGGCAGCCAGTCCACAGAGTTTTGCGGGCTGCGCCGAGCAGAGCAGAGCAGCTCCATAATTGCTGTCTCTCCCATGGCTATGGAGATACTGCATCGCCACAATGTTCAATTCCTCCGCTGCAATCAGTAAGAAATCAGTCATTATTAGCCCTCTCCTCCGTCGACCATATCGTCATTAATGGGATGGATTTCTGTTCGAGCCAGTATACCACCGTCCATCATTCTCTATCCAACTCCCGACGCTGATATGGAGGGGGACACGAGATTCAAGCACCACCAAGTGTCACGAACCCGAGGTCGCTGGTTCGCTGGATGCCTTCTCTCATAAGAAATCCTTGGCAAAGTTTGTACGGGTTGGCCAAGCTGAACGTGCCGACACGAAAGGGCCCTTTAGTTCGATCGTGCTGTCTACTGCAACCACATCGCAACGCCGGAATGCCCATTCTCAACAGCCAACTTTACACTCGTATCCCCTCCCCCAGCGAATCACGTTGTCAGCTCCATGCGAAATATAATACTTCGTGCCCGAATCCTTTTCGTTTCTTGCAAGCCGAAGTCATCATTGCACCACCTTCACATCACCACGTTCCGCTGAGACGTGAAGTGCGTCCTACACCGTTTGACGGAGTCCCCTGGTCTCATATCGCACTACTTTACAAGCTTGGAAGTCGCTTGAAGCTGAACCGGTTAGAACCCGAGCTTTGATGCATTTCAGCCGACTGTTGCTTTATTAGTTGAGCAGCATCCTGCTATCCACCTACCTAGCCCTATCTGCAGTGCTGCGCCCTCATGCTCTGCGGCACTGCGTCTCGCTCGTCCTGCTCTTCTTCGTGTAGTCGACAGTTTTTGCTTCATTCATAAAACGGTGTAAGTCTCAATCAAGGGTGCACCAGCTGCTGGTGCATCTGAGCCTGCAGCGCCTGCTGCTGTTGTAGTTGCTGCGCGGCGATCTCTTGTGCGTGCTTGGCGCAGTGGCCGTTCTTCTGAGCCCACTTGGTACACTGCGGGTATTCGCAGCGCTTGCCACCGCCGTGACCACGGCAGAAACCACCAGACTGGCAGCTCTTGGTGCATCCCTCGAACTTGCACCGCACGCCACCGCCGTGCTGCTTGCACAGTCCCCGTGATTGCGCCGTCTTCGGGCATCCTTCCACGTTGCAAGGCTTGCCACCACCGTGGGCAATGCACAAGTGGCCAGTCTGTGCGCTCTTCATACATCCCTCGACCTTGCATCGTCGGCCGCCGCCGTGCAGCTTGCACATGCCCTTGACTCGAGCCGCGTGGTTGCAGCCCAGCGCTGAGCACAGCTGTACACCGTTCGCGTCCACCTTGACAGGCTTGCCGTTCTGTGTCGATATCCGCATCTGCTGCTGCGGGTGTCCGCCTCGCATCTGCTGCTGCTTCTGCGGGAGCAAGGCAGCTCCCGGCTGCATGAGCATGCTGGGGAACTGCGGCATGGGCTGGTTGGCGCCGACGTACCCGGGCGCGGACATCATGAGGCCGTTCTGCTGTTGCTGCTGCAGCAGTGCGTTCTGATAAAGCTGGTTGTACTGCTGCTGCTGCTTCTGCTGCTGCTCCTGGCGCAGCAATTGCTGCTGCAAAATCTGTTGCTGCTGTTGCTGGTAGGCCAGACTCTGCTGCTGCTGGTTCATCACGTCCATCGTGGGCAGCGTGCCGGGGGTCGTGTTGTATCCCTGGTGCTGCTGGTTGTCGAGCGACTGTCCGTAGCTCTGGAAGCCTGGCATTTGCGGTGCCCCCGGGCCCATCTCGTTGTAAATTGACCGGGACGGGTTCAGCAGCGTCTGCGTGTCCACAAAGCCCGCCGACTGTGACTGCATCGGCGGCACAGCAGGCGCCGGCGCGCTGGTCGTCGGCGCAGCATTTGGCGCCGAGGAGTTGCCATTGGATCCGTGATAATCCAGCAGATTATCCAGATTATCCACCTGCACGACGTCATCGCCTCCGTAATCCTCGTTATCAATCGCCGACACGTCCGTCTCAATGGACTCGAGCGTGCGCGCCAAGTGCTGGAAGCGGAAGCTGTCCTGGCTCGTCATGGGCTTCTGGATGGCCTGGTTGGACGTGGCGTTGAGCATGGCCTGGATGATCTCGAAGCTCGTGGTGCGCGTGCCCATACCGCCCTGTCCGTTGCTCTGCTGCGTGGGCGGGTTGGGCGTCATGAAGCTGCGCATGAGCTGCAGACTCGACAGCCTCTGCAGCGTGCCGGCCTCGCAGTCCTTGTACACCTGCGTGAGCGGCTCGGGCGTGTTGCTCGCGAAGGAGTTATCGATGAAGCTCAGCAGGTGGCGCAAGCTCTCCTTCTTCTCCGTCATGGTGAAGTCGTTGCTGCTCAGCAGCTTCTTGAGCGACGGCTTCGCGTCCGCCGCCGTCTTGGCGTTCTCCGAGTTGACCAGGAAGCTGCCGCCCGCGCTCTGCGAGCTCGTGGGGGCGCGCGGCTGCTGGTCCAGCAGACAGGCCAGCACGTCCTGGATGCTGGCCTCGCGGTGCAGCGGCTGGCGGAAGGCGGCGTCGCTCAGGTCGGGCGTGCGCGCCAGCTCCGTCTTGACCATGGCCAGGTCCCCGCCGGAGAGCGACACGGGCGCGTTGTGCTCGGCGGCGGCCGTCAGGCGCGCCTTCATCTGCGTCCAGTTCTGCAGCTGCGCCGGCGAGAAGAGCGTCGTGTCAACGCAGTCCATCATGCTGCGCAGCAGCTCCGGGTTCACGCCGGGCAGCTCCTGCGGCGTGGAGGCGGCGGCGGAGGAGGGCGCCGGCGGGGGCACCGACGTCGGGTTGGGGCCGGCCGGGTGCGCCATGGCTGGGGCGACGGATGAGAGTGATTGTTTGGGCGCGGCGCGGTTCTCGTTGTGGAGGAGGGTGATGATTGTGGTCCCCCCAGACGGAAAAGCTGTTCTTTGGCTTTGGTGTGGCACACCAATGAACGTGACCCACACCAAAGCCGGCATGTCGCAGAGGGTTGAACTTGGATTTTGGCCCCAAACCAGAGCTGCACAAGATGTGCATGACGAAGGCTTTTTTGCTGGCAGTCGCTCCACTTTGCTCGTCGTTTTACTCTTATCGTGTTGTTGACTCAAGTGCGACTCGCATACCCTCAAGAATCATGAGGTGTGCGGGTTGCACCTCGAGACCGCGAAAACCCCACTGCATGCATTAGGAAGACCGGCCCATGGAGACGCGTGTAGACTGCAAGCACTACAAGTTGCAGTTGCTTGATATTATACTGGCGTTGCAGCTGGGCGAGGTGGTCTTGCTGGCATGCTTGACGTCCTTGTACGAAGACAGTCAGCGGAGAGGACGAATCGTTCGGTTGGTCGTCAGTAGCAATAGCTATGCAAATATTATAATAATAGTCGCAATACTATTGCACCTACCGGTACATGTATTATTACCTACAGATTGTTACCGAAGTTTGACCAGAAACAAAGCTGCAACAAAGCCACTAGACTGAAGTACTGTCATATTCGCGTATCGGTTTCGACGACGACTTCAACAGCTCCTTTTGGAAATGGACACCAATTACAAGGCTCTTCGGCTCGGCTATGCTCGGTCGAGTCCGAGCGAGGCCTCTTTGTATAGGGTGGCGAACGGAGGGTGCTTTCGCTCTCGAACTTCGAGTCGACAAGGCCGCAAGCACTGACATCGCGATGGTGCGCCACCTGTTGCTGAAGACGGAAGTACAGGCCGCTGCGGCACTGGGCACTGAGGGAAACTAGGGAGGAGAAGTTTTGATTTTGAAGGCTGATAAAATTCAATAAACAAGGTTATCGTAATAGATCTTCGTCCAGCTATTCAAAGATATTGTGCCTTTCGGTCATATTGCCGAGTCCTACGTAGGACTTTGGAGGTCAGTTAATCTGAGGTTGGTGGTCCCTAAATCTGAGATGCAAATCTCGGACGAGTCCGATGAGTGGTCTCCTCCGTTCAATAGGCTCCGGTTGGAGTCCAAGTTAAGCAATCTTTGTTTGGGGAAGCAGCAATGCCGGAACCCGCGAAGGCGAATGACGAAGACTGGAGTGTTTAACGTATCGACTGCATCGTGTTTTCATAGGTTTATTCTGCGTTTGACATACACCGTATTAAAGTCAGCTCGTATGAAAGTCTTGCCACAAGACTTGGCAGGAGTCCTTCGTAGGACCTCAAACCCCGAATGCCGTGAAAATGGGCGACATTCGGGCTTTCGGCTGTTTGGAGGACCTGCGCAAGTGCTTCCATCGGACTAGCAATTCTTGGTCCTAATTCCCTATCCGATAACCTAGCCCCATCTTAGTAGGTAAGTAGCTGTTTGACACGTCCGATTTGCCAAAACAACTGAAAAGCACAATAAAAAACAACTGAAAAGCACAATAACTAAAGATTGTAGCAGAAAGTGCCCGAAATATCAAGATAAAGAGGTTACGGAAGGCCCGCGCACATGTCACAGATTTCGCGCGTCAGAAGGAATCCTGGTCCAGGATATTCATCGAACGACCACCATGGGGTCTGGTAGTGCAAATATTAATAGCTGAGCTGGCCAAGCTGCCAAGCTGCCAGCATCATTGCTGTCGCTACCATGCGAAAGGTGTACGTCAAAGTGTTGCTGCTTGGCTGTCTTCAACTTTGACTTCAACTTGGCCAGCGAATCGGATTCGAGTGTAGCCACCTCTCACCCCACACACCGAAAAAAGTATCTGCAATTTGTCGCAGCGGGATCCTTCACAACGCTTGCTAGTGCCGCCAGTGCCACCAGTGGCGGAGCACCAAAACACCGCTATTCATGGCGGGGAGCATACAAGTACTAAAGGGTTGAGGGGCTATTCTGGGTCTGCCCAGTTAAGTTGCTTTCATGACAATGCGTGCCCTTTGCAGATTGATACGATGGACTGACTGGAGCGCCTTCAGCGGATGCTGCTGCCGAGTGCCAGCTTGCACCCTCATGCTGGCACATTTGATGTGGAAGAACTGCGTGACCTTGTATTCAGAGGGATTCCAGAGACCGACACCTCGCCTCGAGGAACAGCCACTATCTCGAGTAAAACTGGCACAGATGCGGCGTCAGACCTCCTCCGACCACTAGCTTGGCGGGTGTTACTTGGAGTGGTCAAAGGAGACCCGAACGGATGGCCGGATCAGCTGCGGTGCCGCCGAGAAGAATATCAAAAGTGGAAGCGCGACTTGGTAGGCGGCACTTCCTCTCAGCGGGGGAGGGACCGCTCGGACTGAGACTGAGCACCGCAGTGACATCTTCCTCATGAAAGAAATCGAAAAGGTACATTGGTCCTCGCTGTGTGTGCCGTATAAAAAGTTTAGCTGAATGGGTATTTCTTAGCAGGACGTGTCTCGGACACGCAGCGAGCTGCCACTCTTCTCGGGCGGGGGTATCGCTCAGCAGCAGATGCTCTACATCCTGTTCGTCTTCGCCAAATTGAACCCGGACATCGGGTACGTTCAGGGTATGAACGAGATCCTCGCGCCGATTATCTACGTCTGCAGCTCCAATCCGGCTATCATTTGGGCATCAGAGGTGGAGGCCGACGCCTATCACCTCTTCGCAACAGTCATGGCGTCACTCCAAGTGCTCTACGCCCGAACTCCGGAGAACCCGCTCAGCGGTGCAGACCTGCAGATGGCGCGCCTCGCAAAGCTACTGCGGCAACACGACGCCGCTTTGTGGCAGCACCTCGTACGTAGGGCATTATTTAAGATAAGTCTCTTGAGGCTGCGAACCATGCTAAACTCTGTGATGTATACCGTGCAGAACTTCGTGGGGCTCACACCGGACCTGTACAGCTTCCAGTGGTACATGACTCTTCTGGCCCGTGAGTTCTCCATGCCGGACACACTTCGCGTCTGGGACACACTCCTCGCCGACCCGAAGCGCTTCAGCTTCTTGCACTACGTCAACTGCGCTCTCGTTCGCTCGCAGCGCGCTTTCCTACTCCTGCACGGCTTCACCACGGGCCTCAAGAAGCTTCAAAATCTGCAATCCTCCGACAACAACCTCAATATCTCCGAGCCGCTCCTCTCCGCCGAGGAAATGCGCCGACATGATCGAAACCTGGACCAAGCCGCTGCTGCTAAAGTGTAGCCATTTCAATGTATCCATCCTTCGATATCTAATAAATACCTTCCATAATGAATAATACTGATCATACAAAAACCTAGTCAAGCAAGCGACAAATCCACTGGTAGAGTTCCTAGGACTCGCCTAATGCCCCGCGGCCGCAGTCGCAGTCGCAGTCGCAGCGCATCCCCTCTTCGCCATCGCCGCCGTCACCGCAGTGGCAGTCGCAGTCGGAGCCGCAGTCCTCGCCGCTCAGAGCTCCGGAAGCAGCGTCGATACCAGCCCAGAAGCCGCAGCAGACGGCGCCGGCAGCACGACATGCCCAAAAAGAAGGACCGAATCCCCGACAACTGGGTCGATGTGGCCAAAATGGGTACATTAGTGGGCTCCTCGCGGTTCGTGCCGCTCCGCGTGCCTCTGAACGCCAAGTATCTGCCCCAGTTTGAGCGCATGAGCGAGGAAATTTGGGCGCCCAGCGACTTTCTGGAGGCCCAGGAGGCCCAAAATCTCGACGTCAAGATGATCATCGACCTGACCAACACGTTCAAGTACTACAATGGCTACGAGGAGTTCCAGGACTCCGGCGTGCACTACGTCAAGCTCCGCATCGAAGGCTTCAACGGCCCACCCGCTGCCAAAGATGTGGCCAAGTTCATGGAAATCGTGGACGAGTTTGTGGCAAAAGAACCGGAAGGGGCCATCGCGGTGCATTGCACCCACGGCCTCAACAGGACGGGCTACCTCATTGTCAACTACCTGGTGGAGAGGCTGGCCCACACGGTCACGCAAGCACTGGAAGCTTTCAAGGCTGCGAGACCGCCCGGACTGATCAAGCACATGTACGTCGAGGAGCTGTACCAGAGGCTGGGGAAAGAGGAGGAAGAAGTTCAGCTACCGGAACTCCCCGACTGGGCGAGTGCCAAGTACAGTAAGAGGGCGAAGGAGGGGAAACGCGGCAGTCGTGGCGATCGAGGTAGGCGCGACGGACGTGGCAGGCGTGACAATCGTGGACATCGGGATAGTGTTGAAGGTGGAGAGCACGGAGAAGGTGAGGGAGAGCGTGAGGGGAATGGTAGACGTGGCCATCACGGCAGGCGGGGTCGACATGGTAGGCGTGGCCACCGTGAACATCGTGGCAGTGCTGACGGTGGCGAGGGCGGTGAAGGTGAAGAAGGTGAAGGTGAGCGTGAGCGTGAGCGTGAGCTTGAGGGCCGTGATAGGCGCGACAATCACGGCAGGCGGGACGGAAACGACAAGTGTGATCGTGAACATGGTGGCAGTATTGACGGTGGTGAGCATGGTGGGCGTGGCAATGGTGAGAGAGATGAAACGCGTGGCACCCACTTGAGGTTTGAGGCTGAATGTGAGAAGGATAAAACGCACGGCACCCACTTGAGGTTTGAAGCTGAGGTAAATTAGCTGTGGACTAAGTCCACTGGACTTGGGGGGTGGAATTACGGCAGCTGCTGCAGTCGGGTGTTGAGTGCGTCCTGGATGATATCGCGTCGCTTCTTGACGAGAGCCTCGCGCGTTTTCAACAGTTGCTGGAGTTCACGAGTGAGCACGATGGACTGTCGCGACAAGTGAAGAGCGGTGAGGAGATAGACGAGAGAGTCATGTAGGAGATCAATACAGCGTCACCCCAGCAGATCCGGCTCACCTTACCTTTGTGTGTGTTAGCTTTACGCAGACACGGATTCGCGCTGGCTGGTCGCGTGGCTTTTTCTCGAGAATCTGCTGGCGGAGCGTCAGCGGCATCACGTGCCAATTGCTGTGTTCTCTTTGGTCCAAGAGTGAGCGCAGCGGGATGATGACTTCACCTGCTACGTCTTCGCGTTTGGTGTCCACCACCTGAACGCAGAGCTCTTTTTGAGTCGATGGGACTGCAACTATTCGGCAACGGAAGTCCCACACGGGGTTGCGGTCAGCGATTCGCATTTCCGTCTTGAACACCTCTGTGCTGTCGAGTACCGAAGCTGACCGCAAGAAAACCCGTACGAAAGGATCGATCTACAAGGTGGTGACAAAGTGTATGATTATAATACTTGCTGGCAAGTCGAAGCAGTGATCATCACATACCATGTCGCCAATTCGCGGGTCACGATACGGCAGATTTTCGGCTTGTTCAACGAAAACATCCACTGTGGCAAGACTCGTCCCGCTGGAATCTCTTGAGACGCCATTGACCGTGTCGAAATGCTCATTGCTCGCTGTTGCCAGTAATTGGTCGCAAAGTTCCTACGGGTTTCAACGTGGAATTGTTAGAGTTGACTGCATGGACTGGGGTTTCGAGAGATTTACCTTTATAGAATGCTGGCAAGAGGTATATCGCGCTTCGAGCTCTTCTGACAGCTGATCAGGCGGTGGCCGGAGTGATGTTGGTGGGACGTTCAACGCCATGAGAAGCTGGGATCTGGTACGTGTTATCTTCTTTTTGGCAGTCTTTCTCTTCTGTTTCTTTGTCGCCTCTCGCGGCCGCTGAGGGTCTGAGTCAAACCAGTGCCGCGAACAGAACGACAGGACGTTCAGGATGACTGGTTCGGGGATGAATTGGGGCCGTTCACTCTCGCGCAGTCTATCGACGGCGTCTTGGATTTCCAGTAGCAGAGCTCGACGCTCAGCGTCGTATTTCAGATCTGCAACCTCCATCGACGAAAGTCGCCGCATCAGCGTCGGCTCGAAGCTGCTCCCGCGAATGTCCTGATCATAGCGAACTTTGGCCTCAACGCACTTGCGCTGGAGCTCCTGCTTCAGCTGAATCAGCTCCCTGCGTGTGACTACCTTCTCAGTCTCGTACGCGTCCCGTTGACGTTTGCTGATCAGAGCGTACGCGAGGGAAACTCGTCGAAATCCTGCAGGGAAGAGTGCTGCATTCTCAGCTGACCAGATGTGGCACGCGCGTTCGATGATCTCCCGGTTCGCAGCGTCTTTCATGCAGTCGAAGACCGTCTCGCCTTGCACGTCTTCCACGTGAATCTGGGCGCCTTTCGACAAGTGTTGGAGTTAGAGGTGCAGTCTCATTGACTACAGTGTGTTCACCTTACCGTATCGAAGAAGCTCCTTGAGAACTGGAGGCTTCGCGCGACTGGCAGCTTCCATAAGTGCTGTCCGGCCAGTCTTCACATGTACATGGTTGACGCTCGCCCCGCTGAAAAGCAATCGTCGAACGACCTCCAGATGATCACTTTGGCAAGCTGCTAGCAGCGGAGTCAGCCCCATGGCCTTTTGTGACGATCAAGAAGCGAAGTCAAGAGCGGTTCTGCTTCGGGGAGCTCGCATACAAACAAGTCCACGTACACTCTCGGCGTCGGCACTGAAGCCAATGCCAAGCAGCTTCTCAACTCGGTCCAAGTTACCTCGCATTGCCGCCTCGCGGATGGTCTGCACGTTCTCTTTCTAACGGAAGCAGAGCAACGCGTGGAAGATGAGTGCGGCCGATCACCAAAGTATCGTGAACGCCCATGCCCACCCACCTTTTTGCCGTCGGACAAGTCTTGCAAAAGCTGCTGGTTGTCATTCTTCAACTTTTCCTGTCGCTCCTGCCGGGTTCGCGTTTTGTCCTCCATCAAGTTTCTCTCGAAGCGGCGCATGGCACGCGCGATCTTCCTGCGATGGCGGAGCGTCAGCTCCCTCCTTTCCTCCTCGCACTTCTTCTTGAAGACCAAGCTCTCTTCACGCCGCTTTTGGCGGTCTTTCAAGCTCAAGTGGGCTATTGGATCGGGGCCTGGATCGTGCGTTGGCTCGGGGTCGACATCAGGACGTTTGCCACCGTCATCTGCTGGAGTCTCGGCGGGATCCCGAGCCGCCAAAAGCAGCGGCTTCTTCCAGGACGACAGACCCGTCCGCAGGTTGCAGTAGTAGGCTAGGCCGCTTACCGCGTCCCAGCATTTGAGGTAGGCGCTGTTGGCGAGCTCCACCGCCTCTCGGCGTGCACGGCGCGCTCTATACAGCGTCTGAAGACGGACGGCAAGCTGCTCAGTCACCTCGGTCACGTCGGGCATCGCCTCAATCGAGTTAGGTACTGCAAAATTAGGATCTAATTCCCCGAGTGAGTTCAAAGATCATGATCTATTTGTGCATCCATCTCTTATGGTGCTCAAATCTACCGACGCGCTCCGTTCTCCTCTCTTCTTTCACCTCCAGACCTGGCCGGTCATGGCCAGCACCTCCTGGGCGATGTCGTGGTACATCTGCGCGTACTTGAGAGGAGACGGGAACTTGTGGCCTTCCTCGTGCTCGAAGCGGACTCTTCTGGTGGCCGTGAAGCTGCGCAGGAGCTTCTCCGACTTGGGGGCCAGCGGGTCCGCCCGCCCGATGACGTGCACGGATGGAACGTCGATGGCTCCGTCCGCGGACGTCTTGGCTGCGTCCAGGAGCTCCTGCGTCTCGGGATTGCGCGGGTAGAATCCCCCTACCAGCACGCAGACCTTCCAGGGCACGTGGCCGTACGAGGACTGGTAGTGCGCCGTTAACAAGGTAGCTGCAGCCGCCCCCTGGGAGAAGCCCAGCACGGCGTCCACGGCGCCCAGAGCCTGGACTTGCCCCACGAGGTAGTCTAGCGAGTGCTCGAAGCCCTCGTAGCGGTAGGCCTCTCCGCCCTCGCGCTTGAGGGCGTCCCACCACTGGTAGAACGGGCCGCTTTGGCCGTAGAAGGAGCGCACCAGCTCAGGTGCGGGGCCCGACGCAGCCCACGGCGCGTCGACGCACACGAGCTCAGCCTTGGGCCCAAAGGCCTGACGTAGTGCCGACGTCTGGCGCTGCAGGATGCTACCGCTGGTGCGCCAGCCATGAAGACACAGCACGCGGATGAGCCTGGTCATTCTTCCTCAAAAAGAGTAGCGTTGTTAAATAAGTACGCCGATATCAGTTAATTAGGATAGACGTATACTTAGTATATGATTGGCTGATCTGCTTCAACTGGTGATGTCGGCACGAAATTCGTGCACATGCCACTCGCTCGCATCGGTCCGCAGCGCGCAGACTGACTCGTTCAAGAAAAGCCCCCCCCCCCCGATGGAGCTCATCGAGTGCGTGTCGAGGCTGGTGGCGATGGGCGAGGATTCAATCATTGACCGGCAGAGGATTCTGTACCGCTCGACACAATTTTGAACCTCGAGCTCATTCATACAAGTGGTGCATGAGCACACGCTGTGAGCCTCACGCTCAGTCGGCGGCACACGCACACTCAAGCACGGTCTGCTGCACCAAATCCTCCGCATGTGCATGTATTCATGTGGATTGGTTCTGCAAGAGCAATGCCGTTGAGACGCTCGAAAGGCTGTGGGATCGGTTAGGATGATGTCGCAGCGACCTCGCTGTTCATTGGTTTTTCGGTGCTAGCATTTAGAGATTGATAGCGTACCAAGTCAGTACGTGTTCCTATCCGATCTTTGGATGGCGGTGAAAATATTCTTGAACAGAACGAGAGAGAGACCGTTTCTAGAGAGGACGAAGATTGCGTTTCGGGCCGTATTTCCACATTGCACAGTACCGAGGCGTGTTGTCGGGAAAATAATTAATTCCTGTTGTTCTACCACTACTAGGCTGTTGCTAGCTCACAGCCCCTACTTGCCTGTTGGCGACCCTGTTCAACTGTTAGTTTTCAACAGGTTTTTAAGTTTGAGAACCTGTTGATCTGGAAACCTGTTGCGAGTGCTCTTTGACTGCAAGGCAAGCACCTAGCAGTCATCAGGTTAGTGGCGAGTGCAAATACGCAATCGGCAGGGCAAACATCTCGTACTAACGCTTGAGGGTCGCAATCGAACATCATGCCGATAGCTGGGACTGAGAGCGTACAAGATACACCAAATTAAGTCAGCTACAAGCAACCGGAAGTCATTTAGAGAGCTGCAGCCCAAGAATACAGCGCCACGACGATACGGTAATCTCTGGACTAACCCACTGTCCTTGTGCATCCGAACGAACCACGATCAGGCTCTCGGCTATTAGTAGAGTCCCTCACGGAGGTAAACTTCGAGTCGCGCATGTACCCCTCGCAATATCATAATATATGCTTTGACAAAGGTTATTAACAGCGACAGCCGAGCAGGGCTAACGACAGGTGGACAGGGGCTGGAGAGACACAACAGCCGAAGAGTGCTAAAGTAACAGGTGATAAATATCACCCGTGTTGTCGCTAAATGCTACTTTTTTTCTTATCGTTTCTAGCATACTGAACAGTACTCGGCAACAAATACTGCCAAACGTAGCGTTCGGCTCGTACTTCATGTACTCCTTCAGCGATGTCAGTAAATGAAAAGTTCAAGGCAATTAGTTACCTCGGAGCTAACTAACGAAAGTGAAAAAATATAAAATATAAAATATAATGAAATCCTACTCCTTCGAAGTTCGCAGGCCGTTCTCGAGTGGACCTTCTAGGCGTGTGATACGATAACCAGACTGAAATCGTTGGGCTTAGGGTGCCCTTTACTACCCCCGCGGCGTGAAACAATTAAGTTCACTATACAAGGAAGAATCGATTCAATTAGTCATTTTGCAGCTTTTTGCTGCTCATACGTTTACACTTCCACGTGGACTTCCACTAATTCTAATATGCGCGTGCCCGCGGCATCTAACTAACATTTAGTTTGGTATTCAGCTCCAAATGGCCCCCTTCAGCTGCATGAGGGACCCACAGCATCAAAGAGCCACCTCCGGTGCCAGGAAGACCCAGGAAACCAGGACGCCAGCGATCCAGATACAGCGTCCGGCCGCCCAGCTTCTCCACAGTTGACTTCCACGTGGCTTTCCCACCGGCAGCGACGTCGATTTCGTCGATCTTGTCGCCTCCAGACATAATGTTGACCGTCACGTTCTTGGTGTCGGTGCTCTGGAAGTTGATGATCACCTGGCCGTCGCCCTTCTTGGTCCAGGACATGGTGCTGTTCTTGAACGCCTTCTGGATCATGTTGAGCCCCAGCGTGTCCGGGTGCGTGCCGTCGTCGATCTCGCCCATGAACTGCGTCGGGCCGCAGATGGACTGGAAGTACTCGGAGATGAAACTCGAGACGCCGCTCATGTCGAAGCCCGTGACGACCCAGAAGTTGAGGCCCTGGTTCACCACCTTGTACGCGTACTCCATGGCCTTGTAGGACGTGCCGTTGTCGCTCTTGCCCGTTGTGATGAGGTCGTTGATGACGACACCGAAGGTCTTGCGCAGCTTGTCGCGCGTGGTGTAGGCCGTCTTCTCGTCGGACTGGGAGATCAGCAGCTCCATGCAGTTGCTGGTCACCGTGGCGATGTCCGTCTTGACGATGTCCGTGTCCTGGATCTTGACGCGCAGCTCGTCCTTGGTAATACCGGGGTTCTGCTCCCTCAAGGCCTCGACGGTCGACCACGTGCGCTCCATGAGGCCTTGCAGGTCGTGGCCGCACGTCGAGTTGGACCTGAGAGCGTCCTTGAGGTATCCGATCTCGCCCTTGGTGATCTGCTCGGGCGGGGCCGTGAAGTTGGCTCCCTTCATGAAGGCCTTGAACTTCTCCCAGCTAGTGATGAGGCTGTCGTTGTGGGCCAGAACCTGGGACAGAATGAACTGCGAAGTGGCCATAATACGGTCCGCCAGCCACCAGTTGCCAGTTGCCTTGCCGCCTAAGCACAACTTGATCGTAATAGGCAGTTCAACAACCACAGCGTTCGACTGGTAGAGCATTGCCAGGATCTTGTCTTGAGACGCCTCGGGGTCAGCGACCTTAATGGAGCGGATGTAGCGGTTGAGCGCTCGCAACTCGCCAACGATCATGCAGGAGCACATGACGGCGGTCCGCACGCCCTTGGCCATTTCCGAGAACTTGCCGAACCAGTTGTCCATGACGCCGTTGATGCCGACGTTGAACACAGAGCTGACCTTGTAGAGCACTTCTCGTCCGCAGTCGTCGTTCTGGCGGATGCACTCCATGCCGCACTCCACTGGGAACTCGATGGGGCACTCGGCCCAGCACGTGTTGGTCTTCTCGTTGCGGTCGTAACCCTTCGGACACTTCTTCATAATGTGAGCTTCACGCCAGCACGCGGCGTCGCCCTGCACCTGCACGGAGCGAGGGCCCACCCAGTTGCGGTACACCGGCACGACGGAGCTCTTGGTCGTGAGTGGAGTAGCAATCTCGTAGGACCGGCCCGACCCAACCGTGATCAGCGCTGAGTAGTTCGACGACGAACCCGACGCGACCGATACCGAGACGTCCTCCACCGACGACACAGGCGACGGCTTTGACGGAGCAAATGAGCCCGCGGACTGGGATGATCCCGATCCAGAGGAGGAAAAAACGTTGAAGACTTCAGCAAATGAGACGGAGCCAGAACCCGATGCAGAGGCCGAGGCGGACAGCGCCTCGATGATCTCAGCAACAGACCCGGAGCCGGAGATTGACGCCGCTACGGACTGCTGGACGACTGAAGGAGCTGTGGTCGCTGGTCGGGGTGTGGAGTTCTTCGTAACGATAACGCCGGTCGAGCTGTGCGCGCTGGCAGCTACGGCCACAATGGCCGCAAGCGCCTTCAGCCAAGCCATCTTGAGCTTTGGACGCGTGAGCTTGACGCAGCAAAAAGGAGAATGGGGGTCACCATGCTGGGGCTCCGTTTACAGTACGTGTATGAACGATGCGATGGGCCACTGAGGTTCGGACGATTCAGGAATCGACTACAGTACCAAGGCGGGATGGGGACACGGTTTAACCGCCGCCACTTAGAAATCGCGCCTGGAGTGACGTCTGCAACCCAATCGCTCCAGCTCTCCGCATGTTTTCCCGCACGGAGGAACACAGCATTTTTAGTGTTCCGTTGGTTCGGCATTTGTGTTTTGTAGATTACATGTAGATAAGGCAAAAAAGTGTCGACAACTTGTCCTTTCAACTCAATTTACGTCGGAGCGTCTTCCGCGTTGCGCAATTGCAGCTGACACGGCATTCGCTTAACTGCGGGAAGCGCGCGTCCTTTGATTAACTGCGGTCTTGAGGATACTGTACTGTATTTTACCTCCCTCCGTGGTTTACCATGAAGTGGCTGAGTCCGGTGCTGTGTTCCGGTGGAGGAGAGGGTCCGCGCGGTTCGGCCTCGTCTAATGTGTCCAGGTAGCATGACATGTATCAGACTGACAGCACCTCCCGGACTTACCGCCGGCGACTCCAGGGTGCCTCTGCCAAACCATGCGGCTTACCTTCCAAAAATGGTGGGGAATAATACGTAAGGGTGCAAAAGTTTTTAAACTTTAAAGAAGAAATGAACCAAAATGCATTCACTTTGGTCGATCAGCACTCATTACACCCGCATGAAATTCCCGAGCAGTCTGAGGCCGAAAATGGGCTAAAAGAGAGATTTGCCTGTACAGCGCAAGACCATTTTCTCCGGCTTGGTCGTGCAAGACCTCGCAAAGTGGACGTTGGTGCAAATCGGCGAAGCTGCGGCTCGTCGACGGGGTCCCGCCCCGCGCTGTGATTTAGCAAGTCGAGCCAACTCACGGTCGTCACTTGGCTTGATTGGCCCAGCTCGCTGGGGCGCTGTCTCGGAAGCTCGTCGCGCTTAGCGGCATCTGCTTTTCAGAGAATAGGCTCAGGTATGCATAACCCTGTCACCATAATCAACAGCGTATCTGTGTCTACGACCTACTTAGGACTGTACCGTGTACCTACACTGTATGAGCCCGTTGTCCAGTTCAGTGTACTCGCAAAGAATGCTAACCAATTCTGGAATTTGGGTCTCCAGCCATTGTATCCGATAGCGTTGGCCACCTGCAGCTCGCACCACAGTGCTCGAGCAAGCGACAGCGAGTCCACGTGCTCGGAGCTTCTATACCATTACTATGCGAAATCAAGCGATTCGTATGATGCCCACACAAGGAATCGCTTCGTACATGTATCGCAAAGAAAACCACATGGTTACTGTAAGATGTACGTACATATGCCCCCTGTTTCTTGTAAAGTTATTGTGCCTTTCGTTTACTTTTACTCAAACAAGGGAGATAGTCAGTACATAATTCGTTATAGTATACTAAGTAGTTTCCCCGAAAATCGGAGTTCAGCTTCCTGTGCTTTGCTCCTTCAGTTTTGCTCTCGTTTTCATTCGAGGTCCCGAATGGCGGTGATTTGTCCATCCCTCCGATTTTTCAAATCGGGGGTTGGTCCCCTTTATTTTAACTCGTAACCCTATCACAATAGTAAAAGTGATAGTTTTTGAGGTCCGTTTAGCCAAAAAGACTGAAAGGCACAATTCAAGAAACCGATGAGTCCAAGAGTAGGTCGGTTGGAGCAGAGTGCGATTTGTCGGTGGTAGACCCCCATGGCGTCCCACGTTTCTGACACGGAGCCGGTACGGATAGCGTCCTCGTACCGAAAGCTGGTCGATACCGTGAAGGGCAGCGCTGTGATTTAGCAAGTCGAGGACAGCGCACGGCAAGTGCCACTTCTGATTGGTGTCAATGGCCTTGTCTCAACAGTGGAGCAACGCGACCGAATAAGGTCTCTTGGTTGGGTAATTCCCAAAATACAGAGTGCTGGGGAAACTTTTGACATTTTCAACCTTTTGCGACCAAACACGGAGTTGTGGGAAAACTTATTCCCAAGACCGGCCTTCGCTGAAGAAAACACCAGAGACTCAAGAGCCCACGTGCTGGTGCACGCCGCTCCGGACGCGCCGCTGGAGAAGACGCTGGCAGTCGCCGCCATCATGGACGGCACACCCTCCGGTGCCTTGCTGTCCACGACCGTGCTGCTGCAGTAGGAGGGCGTGGTGCGCTCGAACCTCGGCCCTGACACTGACACCAGGGACTCGCTGGACTCGCCAACCGTGGCCTCCCTGGGCGAGCTACTGGCCACCAATGGCTCGCTGCGCCCGACGACTGTGAGCGAGCTGCTGGCCACCAATGGCTCGCTGCTGACCACCAGCACCCGACGACCGTGGGCGAGCTACTGATCTCGCTGGACTCGCCGACCGTGGCCTCCCTGGGCGAGCTGCTGGCCACCAAGACGCTGGTGGCTGCAGGAGACAAAGGGCGTGGTGAAGACGACTTCCGTGGCCATTGTAGGCACGCTGGACACCGAAGGCGAGCTGCTGGAGACCAAGGACGTGCTGGACCCGAAGACCATGCCCCCCGTGGACGAGCTGCCGAAGACCAAGGGCGTGCAGGACCCGACGACCGTGGCCGAGCTGCTGGACCCGAAGACCATGGCCCCCGTGGACGAGCTACCGAAGACCAAGGACACGGTCAAGCTGCTGTACATCAAGCGCGTGAAGCGCGGGATGCCCGTGACCGAGCTGTGGTACATCGAGGGCACAACCGTGTGCTAACGGTATCCGGTTTCAAGAACATACACGCACAGCGTTGGCGACGACACATACCGGACGGTACCTACGTGTACACCTACGCGTACGTGTACGATGTAACTAACGACTTTGGAATTTGTCAAAGGATCTTTCCTCAACGTATTGCATGTATAATCAGTAAGTATGCACGTACCGTACAGTCTTGACGACAATATGGTATGTTCAGGGATATGTTTTGAAAGTCGACGTTCGCGTGGTGTGATGTCATTCAAAATGGAGGTCTTCTGTACACTGTACGGACCGAGGTCCACGGTTGGCGAGCTGTACATCGATCTGTCTACCGCGGCATCAGCTCGTTGCTGGTCGTCGTTGGACAACGAATGCAACAACAGGCAGCGCCGCTGCCAGAGGTTTGCCGCGGAGCCAGATCACCAAGGCGGAGCGATACCGCCACCGATCTCCGCGTGCTTGCAGCGAAAAAACCAATGAGCTCTCGGGCCGTTAAAGCATCACCCTAAAGTGCACGACCAACGTCGCAACAATAGCAGAAACGCGCTAAAGACTGGCGCTGTGTAGCAGTTAAGCATAGGACACCGTCGGCTGGGCCCTTGCTCCTGCTCCGCTCAAGGTCAAACTCGAAGCTGGAATGAGACGCATGGGCGACCCCCACCAGTCATTCCAGCGTTTGGACAAGCACATTGTACACTGCATCGACATCCTCGTGTACTGCGGAGGCGGGCTGTCCACAAGTACCGCTTCGTGGAAAGCCGACGCGTTGTACATGTACAACTCGCAGCGCGAATCAACTGTATGCTCAGCGATCTCTGTGCGGATGAGTGATCCCAAGGAGGCGCAGTGCGTGCCGAATTATTATTATTTATCGAAAATTGTCGAGACTGGTTAGAGTGTAGAAGGGAATTCCGTGGCAAGAGAGCAATCCCCGTAGACCCAGCACATTGTAATGCAGTGTACATTGCCATACGTTCTTCGCACAGATCAAGCCCCACGACTTGACACTCCGAGATGGTCTCTCTCAAGCCTCTCACTAGGACGCGCTTACTCTAACCCCCATTTTGTCGTAACTTAGGAGGAAACAGTTGAAGTGGTTCGACCAATCAAATCACTCGTCCGGTACATGCACATACAAACAAAACCGTAGACGGAGGAGGTACCGTACATCCCAGCAGCGCTTGTTGACCTCCAACTTGTTGACCTCATTCTCGCTTTTGCGGCGCCAGGGCCACATTCCCCTCAGCCCCACTTGCTCCAGGTCGCAAGATGGGATGGCTCAGGCTACTTTTCGCCAGTTTGGCCGTGGTCGCCAATACCCACAGTTCTTCCGCCACAGTATCCGGCTCCGGGTCTGTTGCTGAAATCATCGAGGCGCTGTCCGTCTCGGCCTCTGCATCGGGTTCTGGTTCCGTCTCATTTGCTGAAGCCTTCAAGATGCTGTCGCCTGGATCGTCACGGCCGTCCTTCGGCTCTGCAAGGACATTGCGGTCGTCCCGTGAGTCTTCGGTGGCAGACGTCTCCGTCTCAGTGTCGTCGAGTGCATCTTCGAATTCTTCGGCTACCGTCACCGTTGGCTCCGGCGCATCATACGAGCTTGCAACGCCCCTCACTACTAAGAGCTCCGTCGTGCCGGTGTACCGCAACTGGGTGGGCCCTCGCTCCGTCCAAGGCGACAGCGCATGCTGGCGTGAGGCGCACGTTATGAAGAAATGCCCCTCGAACTACGACCGCAACGAGAAGACCAACACGTGCTGGGCCGAATGCCCCATTGAGTACCCGGTGGAGTGCGGCATGGAGTGCATCCGCCAGAACGACGACTGCGGGCGCGAGTTGCTCTACAAGGTCGGCTCCGTGTTCAACGTCGGCATCAACGGCGTCATGGACAACTGGTTCGGCAAGTTCTCGGAAATGGCCAAGGGCGTGCGGACCGCCGTCATGTGCTCCTGCATGATCGTTGGCGAGTTGCGAGCGCTCAACCGCTACATCCGCTCCATTAAGGTCGCTGACCCCAAGGCGTCCCAATACAAGATCCTGGCAATGCTCTACCAGTCGAACGCTGTGGTTGTTGAACTGCCTATTACGATCAAGTTGTGCTTAGGCGGCAAGGCAACTGGCAACTGGTGGCTGGCGGACCGTATTATGGCCACTTCGCAGTTCATTCTGTCCCAGGTTCTGGCCCACAACGACAGCCTCATCACTAGCTGGGAGAAGTTCAAGGCCTTCATGAAGGGAGCCAACTTCACGGCCCCGCCCGAGCAGATCACCAAGGGCGAGATCGGATACCTCAAGGACGCTCTCAGGTCCAACTCGACGTGCGGCCACGACCTGCAAGGCCTCATGGAGCGCACGTGGTCGACCGTCGAGGCCTTGAGGGAGCAGAACCCCGGTATTACCAAGGACGAGCTGCGCGTCAAGATCCAGGACACGGACATCGTCAAGACGGACATCGCCACGGTGACCAGCAACTGCATGGAGCTGCTGATCTCCCAGTCCGACGAGAAGACGGCCTACACCACGCGCGACAAGCTGCGCAAGACCTTCGGTGTCGTCATCAACGACCTCATCACAACGGGCAAGAGCGACAACGGCACGTCCTACAAGGCCATGGAGTACGCGTACAAGGTGGTGAACCAGGGCCTCAACTTCTGGGTCGTCACGGGCTTCGACATGAGCGGCGTCTCGAGTTTCATCTCCGAGTACTTCCAGTCCATCTGCGGCCCGACGCAGTTCATGGGCGAGATCGACGACGGCACGCACCCGGACACGCTGGGGCTCAACATGATCCAGAAGGCGTTCAAGAACAGCACCATGTCCTGGACCAAGAAGGGCGACGGCCAGGTGATCATCAACTTCCAGAGCACCGACACCAAGAACGTGACGGTCAACATTATGTCTGGAGGCGACAAGATCGACGAAATCGACGTCGCTGCCGGTGGGAAAGCCACGTGGAAGTCAACTGTGGAGAAGCTGGGCAGCCGGACGCTATATCTGGATCGCTGGCGTCCTGGTTTCTTGGGTCTTCCTGGCACCGGAGGTGGCTCTTTGATGCTGTGGGTCCCTCATGCAGCTGAAGGCATTGTCTGTTGAGTCGGCCATTGACCATGTTTCAAAGGTAAAAACTGTCTCGATCATCTCGTGAGTCACACAACACTACATCGGTATAACGCGCACGTGTTGACTCAACACATGTTACGGTAGGCCATAACGAAATCATCGATGACTTGAGCGCGTCTGAT